GCGCATTTATTCGATACAGTCTTGTATAATTCATCCCTAATTACTATCGTCTTCTGTTGTTCATAGCTTATCTCTCCGCGTCAATTATACTGTATATGCGATATCATGAATTTAAAAGAGCTCATTTGGTCGTTATCATCAATATCTGTATGAGATTGAAAAAAGGCCGAGATGGTATCGCAGATCAATGCCATTCAAATATCGGAAGAAATGTCGACAAAAGCTCCAGAGAACGACACCTGAGCGAGCTCGTGGCTCTGATTGATTCCGAATCTGTGTTGCGACCTCCTCACGACATCCTGAGATTATGCCGAAACATTTCCTGGATTGCCGCCGGGGATCAGTCACTGGATGTTCAAACGACATCGCTAAGAATTGGTGGTGTAGCTCCACTTTCTTTCTGCTGCCTGATCCGAGAATCAATGCTGATGGCATTCAAGGCACTATATGTAAGGCTTGTGTACATAATGGATGGGAAAACAAAAGCTGCACAGAGCCACACGCGGCTTTGCACAACCTGTCTATTTGTATTTATTGCTGCTCTTTCGCTCCAGTGTGCCCTCTGTCTCGATGGTTTCTCAACACGCAACTACGGAAAGCCGCGGACCACTCATGAGCAGCTTATTTTTTCATTCCGCCTTTCAAGCCCTGTGGCCGCAGTGCCCGCCTCCCTTAAATCCTCAATACCTCCGTTGTATGCGCGTAACGACGCTGTTCTTGTCTAGCCTCAAGCCCCCAAATCCATGAAAAAAATTGCGAATGTCACAGGTCACCGAGGCCAGCCGCGAACTTGCGAAAGAAGTCACAAAATCACCAAAAAAAAAAGCGCGAAAAATGCGATTTTTCCTCCCAAGTACCTCGGTGTTTGATTTGCTGCAGTACACACACCACTGACGTGATCGGGAGCTACTTGAGACTTCTTCCCATATGACTGCCACATTTGACAGCAAGCTGGCTCCTTCTCTCTCTCTCCCTCAATGTAGGGCTTCAACCCGTCGCCGTTTTGACGGGTCGACGGAGGGGACGGATGGGTAAAGACCCGCCCGTCTGGGCCCTCGAGCCAGCGCCAGGATGGGACGGGTACAGGTTGACCCGTCGACAGGGTAGCTGTTCCCGCCTGTTTAACGGGTTTGACGGGTCACCTTTCTTAGATGGAACTATGCATCAAATTTAGATGAATTTCGTCCAATTTCCGGGAATTGAGGTGAAACTTACCCATACATGGAAACTCCTTTCCTGAAACATCAATTCCTGCCCGTCACAAGCACATTGCCGGGACTTGCCGATATTTGATCTACGATCAAATTCCGATTAACCGAGTGATTGGCCGTTCACAAACACTTGTCTGGTCTTATATCAGGGCACTTGAGATATTTTATGATACTTTAAAGGTCCTAGTAAGTTCCCAGTTTGGTCTCAGACTGTCTATAATTTATTAAACTTACTCGCACAAATAGTCCTCCAGCACCCGTCAAAACAGCCGTTATGGACGGGATGGGAGGGACCCGCCCATCTCGAGGCCCTCAGCTACCCTCTGACGGGACGGGTATACCCGTCCTGTCGAGAAAAACAGCTGTTTTTTTGACGGCCGTCCCGTTTAACGGACGGGTTGAAGCCCTACCTCAATGCTCGTTGCTCGCACCATTGTGATCTGGACTGGATTCATTTATGAAGGTGAGAACTACAAGCACTAGTATTAGAATCTGGTTACAACAAGGTCCTCATCTTTGTTGTTTGCATGTGTCTATTTGAGTGAGAAATGAGCTCTGCCTAGGTCTTGGTAGTAAGTCTCGGTGCTCCAGGCGAAAACACGAATTTTTTTCTGTGTCACGGTCTCCCAAGCGAATTCGTGGAAACCCAAGTTCATGAATGGGTGTCACGCATCACAGGCCCTGTGAATTGAATGAAATGCCACAGCACAACACATTATTTCCATGTTCCCCGGCCAATATTACGGGAAGTCAAAGCGGTCAGAGGGGACCAATTCTGACACCGATTCTGTTTCAATTCTTGGCCGATTCTTCAAACAAAATCGATCAAGAATCGATGTCAAATTTGACCACCCCGATTCTGCACCCGATTCTGAGCTCCGTTTCTCAATGGTTCGAGTGCCATGTATTGTGTTCCTAACTCACTGTCTTGGCAGAAGCAGGCTCCAGCACCTTGTCGGCACTGTCCTCACTGCTGTCCAAGGCATTGGCCCCTTTCTTCTTTCCCCCTGAGCTCTTGCCTTCGCAGTTGGGTTCCATTTTAAGGGCAGGAGCTTTGGATGCAGGTTGAGAGGCATTTTTCCTTGCAGGCATGGTCTTCGATGTCTGATATAGTAGAGGAAAAAATTGAAATAGTGTATTTCATTCAGATAAACATAAATATAGCATTGAATCAACCTGTAATTTATGGCTGCCAAGCCGGTGATTTCCACTGCCAGTGTACAAACTACCAAGGTTCAACTGTTTGTAATGTCCCTCTACAAGAGACTAGATCTGGTGGCCCTTGAGTCCAACTTGAGTCAGTGCTCACCAGAAAGTCGGGTAAAAGTCTGATATACAAGTCTCTGAAGCTTCCAGTTCTGTTTTTATACATGTATGATGGATTCCTCTCAATCAGTACCGAGGCCCAGAAATCAAAGCACTCCTTTGGTGCGCAAAATGTTTCCATGTTTTCCGTAGTTGTTACAGTAATAAAAATGCGATCTGAATGACTCATTGATCCTACTGGTGAATCAAGGACTGATTAATTGCCAATGCAATGGCACCCTTGTATGTGAATAATTAAAGTTTTACCTTGCTTGCTGGAAATTCAACCCACATGATTTGTTGGATAGTTGCATCTTGAATCACACTGAGTGTGGGACTGTGGAATGACCACATAATGGCAGGGATAAGTTAAGGTTTGAAGCAGGCACCGATTCTCGAGGTGATTCTGTACCAATTCTGAAGGAGTTCCTCCTCTGGAGGAACACCAATTCTGACCAATTCTGGGTTTTGATTGATTCTCACTGGAGGCACAGCCTGTGGGAGAAGGTTCATGGCACTGGACTGGCCCTGCAGCGACACTGGCCATGGCACTTGCCATGGCACCAGTCAAGCACCAGTCAATTTCTTTGTCGTGAAAGGGATCATTTTGATGAAACCGGCCGGTTATATCCGGGCCTGAAATGATCCTGGCTACGCCGACAAATACCGAATGCATTGCTGCCGCCAAATTTCTGTCGCTAATTCCACTCACAGTCAAAGACCTTTTCAATATGAACTTGGCTCAGTATTAAGGTTGTTGATTCTGGCCAACCCGACGTTCTACCACTGAGCCAAGTGTATCTCCGAGAAAACACGTCCCGATCGGGACTGAAGTTAGCCCCTGACGTCATCGATCCGCGTCATCGTTCGTGTCGTCGCTCGTGTCAATCTCTGAGGTCCTTGCAATATACCTTGGTTATCGAGCGAGGTCTGATGTAGTTGAGGCCTCACGTAATGGCGCTTAGCTTACCGCTTGACCGCTTCCTTTGCGTGCCCGATGTACCACTGTTCCAGCTACAACACTCATGCAATGCCCGGCGTGCCTCCACACATCATCAAGCCCATCCGCCATGTCATTGTCTTTACCGTCGACCAGAACCACCCCGTCGCCGTCAGCCGCAATAGAACCCGTCGATCTCTGCGTTACCATTGCACTGCGTGAACGGCTCTACTACAGAAGGTACGGATGCAAACGCATGTTACCGTCTCATGCCGACTATCGGGCGACACTCTCCCCGCCGAGTTCCTCATCCTCTCGTGGACCGCCGCCAGCACGCTCGGCGTTCCGCGTCATCGCTCGCGTAATTCTCTACCGTAACTCTGCGCGACACGCTTTCACCATCGACAACCTCAAGGCCGCTCATCGGCTGGTTATTCCCGCATGCCGCTGGGACTCGACTCAACCGCAAGTTACAACTGCAGTCATTCTCTCACCCCAATTGAGCCACAATTAATTCTTGCTCGTAATGCGCGGATCCGTCGCTGGCTTGTGCTTCTCTTTCCGCTTTCCCGTTTGGTGACTTGACTGAGGCGACGACAACGGGGATCCCAACAAGCACCCGTAAACACAAATCCTCACTCCGCTCGGCACGGCCATGACGCAGCACGTGCACTGCCCTGTCTCTGCCCTGTTCCTGTCCTCTCCTCCCCTCCTCTCCTCAACTCCACCTCGTCCTCGCCTTAATCACACTCGCGCATGTATGAACGCGGTGTGCTGATCACATTAGTGCAAATCGGACTTAGCCATCCAGCCACTGTTAGACACTTTACCGCTTCGATTGACCGCTTCCCGCGTCCCGTACGCAGACGGACGCAATAGGGTGATGCATTTTGCCTTTTACCAATCCACCTATTCTCGTTTGTTATGTACATTGCCGTTTCTAGTAGTCCCCGTCGTATCCACTGCCGTTTCCAGTAGTCCCCGTCTCGCAATCAATATATTTCAATTCAGTTGTGCAATCAATCTAATCTCCTTTTACTCGCTCGTCCTTTTGCGGATGATATGCAACTGTCCAAGCGCAAATCATGGGTCCGCTGTACTTGATCCGTCGGTGCGAACAGGGTTTTGAAGCAGGAACACGATAATCCTCGGCATGGGTCACGCGATGAGCCAAGTAAACAAGGACAGCAATGGATCTCATCTATGTTCACCGTACGGGTACCTCTTGGGAGATTATGTGGAGAAAAAGAGAAAAAAAATCTACCTGGTCTGGTATATGCATTAAGGGGGAATCGAACCCCCGGCGGGTCGAGAACGTGGCCAATCTGTTTTGGGATGGCAACGACCCAGGTTACCACTACCCCATTAATGCCTGCTGAACCTTCCAGCCTGCCTGGACCTTTACCCCAAGGCATAAAAGACGCGAAATACAAACAGTTCTGGATGCATTGATCGGTCCCATGGCACGACCTCGTATGCGTGTCTGAGCCCGGTACCCCATCGACCGGTCAAAAAAAATTGAAAGATCGACAAAGAAAGCAGAGTGCATTAAGGGGGAATCGAACCCCCGGCGGGTCGACAACATTATAGACGAGTTTCTTAATGGCAACGACCCAGGTTACCACTAACCCATTAATGCGATACCATTATGCCTCCTCATTTTTCTTACTCTGCTCACACTTCTTCAGCTTGAACTTCAAATACAGGACTGCCAGTGGTCTTGTGGGGTGGAGACTCAGCAACCACCATGATGGCAATGGCTGGCTACCACTCCTCTTAACAAGTAAAAGGGAAGGCAAGATGTGCCTTGGCTTCAATGCATCTCTGGAGTGTAGTATTCAAACTCTTTCCTTCCTTCAGTGATTTCCTTGACACAACTTCAACAACACCGACACCACAATCTAGCATGATTTAAATGCCGCAACAACGAGGTTTCATTCAGCTTGATAACTCAAGCGTTGACAGACCTGGTATTGGGGCACCCGGGCATTTATTCAAATCTGCTCGAGTTGCAACATACTATAATGTATTTCACTACATTACGACGTCATCTCACAAGAGCTAATGCTGGCCTGAGCAGTTAGCTAAAAGGGATATAATGTGTCTCGAACCATTAGAAAGGCGCTGGACAACAATCCTGGTAAAGGGTTGGAGTGGGAAGTCGCTAATGGAGCAATCGCGGAAAGTGCCTTACCATCCTGGAAACGGATTGGGGCTACTGCACATCCCTGACTAAGGGCATATTACGAGGGAACATCCTTCTGAACCAGAGGGATCATTGCTGGGCATCATCTGACGTCTCCAGAACTGCCAAGAGAGGACTGGACTTGGTCGATTTACCAATTGACTAAGAAACTGTACTCGGGTACTAGGAAGCGGCGGCTATCACGATTTTCAGACAAATCACTTAAGCGGTTCAAGGCGGAACCATTTGAGCTTGCGGTTACCAAGGAGGGTAGCGAAGTGCTGACGAGGAGGTCGGCTAAAAGTTGGCATGTCAACAATATTCCATCACGATCGTTCTAAGCGATGCAGATCTTGACTCATCGCTAAGCTCGGCTCGTTGATGTTTCTTATAAATCTCTCTCAATTTTACTAATCACTTGATATTTGACAGGAGTTCATCGGCTAAGCGGCCATACCACTAGTCATATACCCTGAACCCTATTGCACGTTTGTATCTGTCTCGTTTATATTTAGAATCCTGTAACATATTTAAGTGGATGGTTATGGGAGGAACACCAGTGAATCTCACCCCACCTGTTGGACGCGAAGTTACTAGACTTCACGCTTAACCGGTAGAGTAGTCATTCATTTGGAGACACCCAGAAGCTATACCAAGTTTCGTTTGTTTTCCCTGTTTGAATATTATCTGTGTTGGATTTGGATCTTTATAAACGACGCGTGAACATATTGGATAAACGGAACGGACGCGTGGAATATAAGGAAACGGATCAGACTTGACAATTGGTTGTAATCTCGCAAGGATTAGCAATCGCGGATACTATTTGGAATCGGGATTCATAAGAATCACTTGCTTTACGCATCGGAGTATCATCTCCAAACCTAGACCCACTTCATACAAAACCGTTGAACATAAAATCTCGTCTGTCTATCGCGATTGCGCCTAGAACGGATTCGAGCAAGTTTATCTATACGACTTGTAGACCTGTAAAGTCTTGCTTCTCAAAGAGAACTAGAGTTCAAATTGCCACAATCTATACTGGATTGGAACCCCGAACTTGCACGAGGACTATAGTGTTTGAGTTGTTGTAGTTGCAGTATTGAACCGCGTATTCATTTACAAGGTTTGTGTTGTGGTTATTTCACCGCCAGCCCCATAGTCAGCGTTACAGCGTCATTGAAACATAGCTAGTTATTCCACTGTGGAAGTGCAACCTGCCTCACACATCACCTTCTATTCCCGAGCCAGTCCAAGCATCCAACCATATATTCCAGTGCACCACCGTCATTTCTTGTGTTGTGCTTCCGCTTGCTTTACTTCACTCATTTTACCTTTACTCATGTTATTTCTATCATTTTCCTCTCAGATTCGCTTCCAGCCACGTGATGAAGACTTCACACATTTTACATGCAAACCAATTAATCCGACAGTTGAAGGACAAGTTTTCATTTACCACAAGAATATTCTGCTATCATGTTTTCCTACCTTGCTCTATATTCATATGCTCACTACCCTCTCATATCACACAGACAACTATTTCTTTTGTGCTGTGTACCACCAACGCAACAGGTTCAACCACTTCGGGCATCTCGGACTATGCTGGGGATCAACCTCAAGGTGGATTGGGCACCCATCCTTGATGCTGTTGCAGGGCAGCAAGTCTCCTTATTTCGTCTTTGCATGATTACTGGGTTGGTTTGACTTTAGCTGCGGCTTTTCACCATGGACTCTCATAATTACAGCATTTTGATATTTACTTTTTTGTACATCAGGGATCACCTTCCTTTACCTTTTACCACGTCCACAACCCGAGATTTTGAGCCACTTCACATGAATCCACCTTGACACACAGCTTTTGGGCATTATGCAAAGCCGCGGGGATTTTCCGAGTTCACATAGGAAGAATTGAGCTTTCAGTGACCCCGTTGAGTGCAAGGAAGCCTTTTAGACTATGGGATGGTGGCATGATTTGTCATTCAAGTCGTGGGTGGTGTGGAATCAGTGCAGATACTTGAGGATAAATCATTGTATTTTGTCATGAATCACCTGGGTTCTACTTTTTCACGCGATGTGTCTGTATGGATAAAGACACGTCTTAGCGGCACGGGACTCTCATGACGCCACCACGTGACCTTCTCACAGTTGAAACCCGGCTTCAGATTCTAAAGCCGCAGACTCAGGGAGTCTGTGCCACAGGATACGGAAGACGTTAGGGACTAGGAACCCATACAGATGGATCCTAGTCCCCGGACGCACTACAGATGACACAGAAGCGTACACAAAGTACATGAGTGGTTGCAAACTGATTGGGGTTTGAACCACTGGATACGATGACATTCAGGATTAGGAAACCCGAACATCGGGTCTCCTAAATCCTCCGACACCATGGAAATGGACACAGAGGAGTCCAGGAGTATCAGCATTAACACTCCTTAATGCTGCGGTACAGGGACTGATCGCGATTGACCGCGATTGCTTTAATTTATTAGAAGCCTATATAAGCTCAGTAGAATCTCCATGTACAGTAGATTCTTCCTCGTCTAATCTCAGGCTTCTACCTTGGCTTGACATAGGCATTGTCTCCACCCTGCCCCACTTCCACCACATCGTACTACGGGTTGTATCCACGCCCCGGGTTGTATACCTGAGTGGATATCACACCCTCTTCAACTCGTTCAGGGTTCCGCCTTGCATCCCGACCTATGACATACGGCCTCCTAGGGAGGACGCCGTACGACTGGTCTTACTGCTCGGGGAACACACAAGCTACTAGCGTCTATCGGGTTTATCCTGGTTGGGGTTCTCGTCGGGTTACTCGTTGTTTAGCCGACCCAGAGGCCGTTGCTGACATATTCACCAGATTTGATTGGATAGCCACATGAATGGAACATTCGAAATGGTATTTGTCCGAGTCAGTTATAGTTGATTTGTCAGTTCAAAATATCAAAATACTCCCTGTGGCTTTGCACAATGCCCCAAAGCTGCGTGAAGCCACATGCGGCGTGTGCGGCTTTTGCACAACCTCTCTAATATTGTATGCCCAGGGCACAAGAACATCAGAGCAGGAGTGACTCCTCCGAGTCGGCAGCAGTCCAGCTTCGGGTTCCAAGAGAAATGTCTGGGGCTCCCCCTGACCACAACAGGTACCAGGATTTTTTGTGATATGCAGATGGACCACCTGCCAGCTGTCATATTGTGGGTTAGTGGAAAGCTCAAAATAGGTGAGCCAGAGCCTATGTAGCAAACAAAAGTTGACAGGTAAGATAGGTGACATGCACATCCATCGAGTCACGTGAACATGACTGATGTGTGACAGTAATGTGGAACAGCGTGAAATTTCAGATTTTGCAAAAATAAATCATGTTTTTTGGGCTTGGGGTCAGAGCAGCCCAGGAGAAAAAGTTTTTAATTAGAATCTCAGAAGCTCAGGAGATACCTGCAATAGACTCTAAGCAGCACAAGTGCAGCATGGCCTTGAACTTTTAGTGAACTCTGATCCTTGAGGAAGTAGAGTGCAGCTGATTCAATCATCTTCCAAATCTTTGCAATGCAGCCTTTATTAATTAAACTGGTTTTTTTTCCCAGCCCATTGGCTGCAGTAGTGCTTTGCACAACAACAGTGAACTTTATATTGAAGTTCTGAATCACAGTTGTGGTAATTATATCCAGTGGGAACATGTAACCCACAGGGAACATCCACCAAGCCTGGTATTCAATGCTATAAGCCAAATATACACCCTCCCACCAGTCAGCAGAGCCTTTGGCTGTGTGTCGCTGATGGACCACGTGACCGTGTTCTTTCCTTATATGGAAGTGCGAAACTGAAGAACAGGTGAGTGGGATGAGAGTGGTAGCAGTTGAAGACAATACACGAACCATGTTGCCTGTTGTGGTGCCAAAGTGAGTTTGCACCAGCAATATTGTAAGGTGTGTGGTGAGCGAATCAAGCACCAAAGGAGCCAGGTGACCCATGGACACACAGATAGGACACCGTGATCCAGGCATGGGGAACACAGTAGCCCTGTGCCTTGAGATGGCCTTTGAGCATACACCGACCAAAATTGTGGAAGGTCTTGAGGATGGACCTCAGAAGCAAGTCCAGGTCGACATTGCTGTTGGTCGAAACAGGGGCCGAGGTGGATGTGTACGTCTGCGGGATGGAGCCATCAGGCTGTGGGGTATCTGTGTAAACAGGGTGGCCTGGCTCAACTAGACCATATTTGAGCATCCATCATCGAATCGTCCTCGCAGAGACATTGAACACCTATTCCAGATGTGTCGGGCCATGCAATGCTAGAGCCTCTGTGAGAAACATCGGATCAATGTCTACCCTGGGCCTACCACCAGTGCTTGAGGTTGGGAGTGGTGGGTGGATCTGAGAACTGGTGATGAGCCTTGTTAGGGGTGTTGATCATTTTGTCTATGCTGTGTTTGGCAGTCGCAAACCCAGCTGG